GAGCTTATCGGAGACGGCAACACCAGCAGGATATCTGGGAGCCGCCTGACCGGTCACTCCCTCTATTATTGATGTTTGTGTGTGGGATTATTTGATGATTCATTTCAATTGATTTATAATTTAGTCGCATAACTGAAAATGATGTCTTTAGGTCCGCATGTTTAGTGTGATATTGAAAGCCAATATCAAATCTTACTTGGGTTACAATGATTGAAAAGAAAAATAAACAGAACAAAGTTAGACAGGGACTTTTTGGGAATATTTGGGATGGCCAATTAGTTATTCTGCCTTAGTGTAGGGATGGGTATTGGAAAACTGTGCCAAGTCTTCCAATACCTTACAATCATCTCCGTGAATATGGATGCTTTGCTATAGTTGCGTGTGAACAAATACATAGCAACACGCGCAGTCTGTATCATGTTTGGGAACAGCGCTATGGCGAAGAAAGCATACACTATAATTAGTTCAAGCTCTAATGTGTAAGAATGATTATTTGGCAATGGTTTCATAATGTGTTCAATTGCAATAAATGTTGTTTTCGGCCAAAAACAGGTTATGAATATGTCCTGTTCTAACACTAGCTTTGAGCAGCTTATAACAAACAATTACTAGAAACTAGAAATGATAAGATCATTTTTTTATATCAGAGAAAATATTTAAATAAAATAATGTAATGTGTGTTTTATGGAACTGGCCACTAAAGAAAACAACAACCAACGACAAACTTATAACATATTTACCTCTAAGTAATCTTTTTCCAACCAACAATTTGTTAGGAATATATAATAAAAACGATATTGATACCATACCATACATTCCCATTTAGTGTGTAGAGTGTATAATGTGTAGAGACCTGGTCACACTTTTTAAAAACAGCTACACTCTTAGACCCGACGTGTTTTGCACCAGCTGTTCTGATCCACTGGAACGACACTCAACTTTTTAGCAAAACACTGAAATCTTGCATTAAAGCAGTGGATCAAAGACGGAAGATTAAAAAGAAGTTAAATGGGTTCCAAGTTCAGAGAAAAGGACTCAAGAGTTTTACTTTCCTCCGAAATGGTGTTCCCTGGAGCAGAAAGAGCTAACGACGTGAATAAAACCTTCAGCTCCTTTTAAGAGAGGCTTGACTGACAAGGTGCAGAAGCCTGACATCTTTGCAGTGTGTGTGTGTGTGTGTGTGTGTGTGTGTGTGTGTGTGTGTGTGTGTGTGTGCGCTTGTGAGAAGAGGAGGTTTAGGTATTCGGTCTGTTAAGCATCTGTCATTAAACGGTGTGTGTTGTGTGTCTTTCATGCTACACTGCTTTCACTCCAAGCAGAAGTGAAAAGGGTCAGAGGAGAGTTGGAGAAGTGGTGAGAATTGTAATTTTGAAAATGATCTTATTTGATATAAGATGGAAAGATATTTCCTACTGCTTAATGTAGTAAGGATGTTTATGTTCATGTTCCAGTACCTGATTTCTGAAGAAACTACTCGTCTGAATCAGAGCAGACTGTTTGCACATCAACACTTTGTACAAGAGATAGACAGAAAGACAATAACATGATCAACACACTTTTGACATGATCATAATAAAAGAAGTCATTTAAAATATCTAGTTCTTATCACTATCCTAAAGTCACCTGATTTGCTACTACTATCAACTCTAAATGTTTCCCCCCGCAATCAATTCTCCGTGTAAGATTTACAACATCTGGGGCAGTTTTTCAGACTCTCTGGTGAGATGGATGAACTGAGGCAACTTGTTGGACACATATTTAACCAAAAAGCTTGGTTCAAATCCGCCTCAGTCCCTGAAGAGTGGAGCAGAGAACAGGCTTTACTTCCTCTGCTTCAGAAGATACAATGTTGGAACTATCAGCGTGGGAAAGAGCAGATTTTCACTGATTTGATCTAAAACTATGTTTCATTTGTGTGTGCTTCTTTAGGCCTGAAGGACACAGATGTGTGCAATTGTACTGAATTAACTGTTACTCAGTCGTATTTAAAAATGTTTTGCTGTGAATGGCCATATGCTGTACAGAAAACCTGCTGCAAATAAAACATGGATTATGTTTGAAAGGCGCTGCAGCAGAAGACCTTTAAAAACAGACATTTAAATGATGGATTGATAAGAAAAGAATGGCTGGAGCAGTGATGGGTGAAGGGTGTGAAGTTGCTTATCAGTCAATCAGAGCGGGATGTTTCCTCCATCTTGTGCACAGCTGTAACCTGCTGCTGCTTCCTATGATACCCGAGAGAAAATGTCATACGGCCCGTCCACACAGCAGCTTTTGGCGATTTGTCCACCGCTTCCAGCGCGTCTCCGCCCATTGACTTTGAATGGGGATGACGTCACTTTCCCTCGCTTGTCGCCGAACTGCATTGTGGGGGGGCGAGGCGAAGATTTCCAGGATGTTCAGGATTCCAAAGTTGAAGAATGTTCAACTTTTGAGGCTGAGCTGGAAGCGACAGCCAATCAGATCCGTTTATGCAAATCTGACAGTTCAAGCGCTAGCCAATCAAACCGCGTGCAAGCTGGGAGAACCAGTCCCGCAGTTCATTTCTATATTCCACAAAAATGGAGGAGAACTTAGTTATTGCGGTAGCAAATCACCCGGTTCTTTATGACCAGTCCCTATTTACTTACCGGGATACAAACCGGAGGAACCAGGCATGGAGGGAGGTGGCAGAGACAGTGGGGGAAACTGGTAGGTTTTCGCTTGTTTGCGGATTTTATATGCAGTTTACTTCGTTGCTAGCAAGCATAGACAGTATCATTAGCCCGCATGGAATGTAGCATAAAATAGCACCATAAACATTAATCTCATAAATGTTCAAAATGTTAAAAAAAGAAATAGTGGAGAAGAACCGGGGTTTTTTGCTTTGTATGTCGGGGGCGGGAGATTCATGTGATTGGTTGTTGGTCGTGAAATCCCCAAGCTTTCAGACACGCCCAGCTCCAAGATTCTCAAGATTTTTGAAAAGCTGCTGTGCGGACGACGTGCCGTTAGTCCTTCCTGCTATGGAGGTACAAGTAAACTGACTAATTAGTCCAGTTGGTATGTTATGCAAAACACAATTAATATTCTTAGCGTGATGTAAGAGGAGGTGTGGGGAGAATATTAAAGTTGTGTTTTCTCATACTTGTTTGATAATCTAAAACTATTGTGGCTCTTGCAGGATCTATTGGCTCTGAAGTGCTGCACCTTTACTGGGCCAAGGTTGTCATAGAAAGGACCAAGGTAAAGGTCTTGTTTCAAAGCCACGTAGGCCAGCACTGCTCTGCTCCCTGTCTCCTGTGTGGAAGGACAGCAGCAGCAGCAGAGGAGGCCACTGCAGCGTTTATCAGCTGGTAGTTACACGCTACATTTCCTGAGTGATGCTGTCGCGGCGCGTCCTGCAGCAGCAGAGCGCTGAGGGGCTCCGAGGAGCTCGCCCACCCAGGCGGCGAGAAGCTGAGCTGCTGATGAAGTGAGGGGTCGCTGCAGGGCTAAGTGAGACCTCACACTGGACCAGCAGGCCAGACCTCGGGCCACCATGGCATATGGGTGTGAAGGAGGTGAGGAAGCTGAGGAGGCATTGTGGGGGGGAAGGGGGCACCCAAGCTGTCCTCTCCGCCTCTCACGAGACCCCAAGCTGTCACAACAGATATTTACCAGCCCTCACACTAAACACCCACCAGGGAGAGGGGGGCAGCATCCTTCCTCTTTCAAACAGAGGGATGGAAAGCAGGAAGTATGGAGGACACAATAAGTCATCTCTCCTTCCTGCCGCTGTGATGTCTGAATGCCGGGTCGCTGTCCTCTGCTACTCCTGAAGCCCGGCTGCAGACCTGCTAGTGATAGCCACTGGGAGGATGAAGGTGCGACCTAATACTTATTATAGGTCTGGAGCTGACTTGTGAGGGAACCAGTGTACACAGAGAGCAGAGGGAGTCACAGCCGGACAGGAAGTGACACACTCCACCGGTCACGCTGCAGAACACACAGCTGCAGAGCAGGAGGGCAGAGGGCACACCGAGAGACTCTCCAAATACTGTACGGCCACAAGGGCTCACACTGAACTACAGGGAGTCTCTCGTGGACTAAAGCTGGAGAATCGAGCAAAGAGGGAGCAAATCATCAGCGCCAGTCATGGATACTTTCTACTGCAGAGAAATGATGCTGAGTCAATGAATAGATTAGATAGGCATAAAGAGAAAATAAAATTGCTCTAGATTTATCATTAAATGCACATGTTTGCTTCATTGATTTTGAGGAGATGCTTTGTATTTCATTCTATATATATTGTTCAGAATGCGTGAGAAATTTCATGAAGGGCTGCAACAACCAAGGAATGTTTTAATCGGTTATTCATGAACTAATCCCAGATTCTCAATATTCAAGGTCTTATTTGATCAATCCAAATGTATTCAGTATATAGTATATATATTCATTAACACTGAGTACCGTTCTCTAGCATTATAAGCATTATAGAGAAAGACATTTTGACCGAACATTAGTGAACGCAGCTGTGATCTCAGGAGCTTTCTTCAATCTTGACTACAAGCTCTTTCTCTGCAAAAACACTTCACACTCCGCCTGCTTCTGTCTGTTGAATACATGCTGCTTACACCCCCCCTCTACCAAACATCCCCCCCCCCCATCCTGCTCTTCACTTTTTCCACACCCGAGAGCCTATTGACCGGGTGTCCCAGTACCACGCGTATCACTTAACCTCGCGTCAAAACACAGGTGTAACGTAAGCCCGGGGAGCAGGCGAAGGTCCCGAGCTCATAAAGAAATGTGCGAGCTGGAGTAGCACCCTGCGTGTAAGAAGGGCCCCTCTTTGAGAGCCGAGTGCAGGGTTACTGCAGCGAGGGCAGCTGGAAGGCAGCCAGACACTGAAAGAGGCACACCTTCACCTCGGGGATCCGCAACACAACGGCACAGAAATACGACTCGGCGGTAATGAAAAGCAGAAAGTAATGAGAGCATTTTTAAATGGAGGGCATAAAAAGGAAGGTTGCTGCTCTTACCAGGGCGCCCCGTATATCCGGAATCCCTTTATGGTGACGTCCGAGTCGTGCAGGTACACACAGTTTGAGAGGAGCGTCTGCACATCGTCAAAGTCCTCGGGTTTGAGTTTGGATACGGAGGGGAATCGGTAGTAATCCTGCTTGACCAGCTCGGCCATAAAGTCCTTATCAAAGGTCAGCTCGTGGTTGCCGGCGATCACCACCTTGAACTCGTACGGGAGGCCACCTGAGGGAGATCAGAGGGAGAGGGGTGTGAGCTGGAGTCTCAAATCCACATATTTATCCACACGTTATGGCAAGAATTTCCACAGCGCTGACATTTGCTTAATATACCTCTTACCTGAAGCAACCATTTGCTGTTCAGGTGAAGTTAAACATATGAGGAAAAAGAAAGAAAATAATTACATGTCTGTGCACACGCTGACTGAAGACACAGAACTCTGTATCACGAAGCCCTGTATAACTATTTAACCAACACATTGGTAAATATTGACTACCATCCAAAACAAATGTAGTCTTTTGCCTTTTTATTATGGTTGCAATATTTGAAGAATGAAGATGATTGCTGTCTGTGATAAAACGGCACCAATACATTTATACGGTGATATCCCATTCCTGAAAACATTGGTTTGATTCGCACATAATACAAATGTGTTGCTTGATACAAGTATTTCTGAATCCACATTTCTCCAGGTTTTTCATACTGCTTGTTGTGAACTAAGTATGGATATTATTGAGCGTTCATTAAATCTGCAGAATATTGATTATTAAAGATGGAAACGGATTCCTAGCACACTGCAGATTGTGCAGCGCTGTCCTCCTTTAAGCAGAAGAGTACTTTATAAAATCACAAAGGGCTTGTACTGTTCCACTTGGCTGTCCTGGTATTGTGTACATGGAGCATACACCCTCCTCAGGAGCTCCCTGTATATCTAACCCAGAGCACAGATCAGGACTGTAGTGAAACCTCTCTCAGACAGTCAGAGTTTACAGCACAGCTGACGGCTCTGCTTGACCCCTGCAGACCACCGTACATGTCCGCAGACACCGGGCGGCTGCAGGAAGCATGAACCTGAACTAAATACAGAAGAACATCTATTACAATTCTCATCCCCTCATCTTTCAACTTCGGCTGTGCCCTTTTCGCTCGGCTGTCTGGTCATTTGTCCCGGTTCCCCTTCGCTATCAAGAAACAGACCTACTACTTTATTCCAGCAGATTGAGCACTCGAAGCTCTGGCCTTCATCCCCCCTCCATTCTTTCCCCCTCTCCTTTATTCTATGTTTTACGCTTTCAGTGGATTCTGTTACTTTCTTTTTTTGCATTGCCTGAATGTTCTGTATAGGTATCTACAGGCTTTATTAATGTGTATAGTTTGATTAATCAGATTTCTTTCTAGAGGATCTATTCTATCTATTACTAGCTACAAAATATCAGCAAATTGTAAAAAAGTTGAAACTAAAATAAACCCGTTTTCTCGCCTGACAAATGCTTTTTTTTCAACTCGTATTTTTTGCTGATCATGAAATAATACAACAAAATAGTCAATACTCAAAAGAGGGAATTCGAACTTGAAAAAAAAGATATATAGCTGGCATTTAGCAAAGGTTTACCAGATGAAATATTTGTAAGAACAATTCACGGATATTGTACAGACTATTGCATTATTATTTGCAGAATCGATTCTCCTACAAATGGAGTTGAACTGACAGGAAAGTATTGGTCTCAGAAACATTAGATATCCCCTTCCGCTCTGTAACGTCTTGCTCCGCCTATAGCAAAAGGTTATGATGCATGCCAGGAGGGCATATTGAATAATATGTTGAATAAAGAATCCAATATAACGTTGAAGAAAAAAGCTTTTTGAGTCATGCCAGAAAGTGGGAGAAAAGATGTAAACTCATGAACTGCTCAATTCTGCAGCGGTCAAGTTCGCAATTGGAAATAAAGATAAAAGAAACTGAATAGAATATAAATGCAATCAGGATACGCTGGCTCTATGCAGATCTATTAAAACGTTCCCCCTGCTTCCATCTAAAGTGTGTGTGTGTGAGAGAGTGTGTGTTCTCTAATGCTGAAAATGAAAGAATCATGGTTCCCCGGTCTACAGGTTTCATTCCCGCTCCTCTAAATTAGCTCTTGTCGCGTCTCAGGATCATAAATTCCAGTCTAACCTTATATGAGAGCCCGTCTCTCAGTCCCCCAGCACTCTAACTGGATCACACAGCATTTATACACACATACAGACACACACACGCACACACACAACAGCAAGCGAATCATCCTCCCCACCAGCAGGCAGGGAAAATATGGGGGAAAACATAATTACCATCAAACAACTCCATCCCCATTACTCTACTGGGAATCTCTACTGCTTTTTATTGCCACCGTGATACATCTTACCTCTGGCTGCTGGAGTCATACACACAGATTTATTTCCTATCCCTCGCCCACTAAAGGTATGAAAGAAAAAACTAAGAAAAAAAATGACGTTTTCTCAAACCTCTGGAAATGTAGACTTTCAGAAGTGAAAAGATCGAAAATGGAAAAGATTCTAGTTTCAATGTAATAACTGAGGTCACGTGATAATTGTAACCACTATATAAATGTCAATATATATAATTATGGCGCTCTAATGAGGATGTGATAATCACAAATATTTATTTCAAATGATTGACTCTTTAAACAAACAAACAAGCGCAGGAAGGGAACCACATATCTCTCTGTTAGTCATCACCGTTCAACACACATATTTAACCTCGGTACATCTACACACGTACACATCTGAGCCTCTGGGAGCAGCTTAAAGCCGCAGATCAGAGCCGCTGCTCTGCCATCACACAGGCGGGGTCAGGGAAAGCTCGTTCCTCTGCATCGATCTCCAACCATCTACTTAACGGGGCCAAACAGGAGGCGACGGCCCCTACAGAGTACAGACTTCCTCCAGGAGCAGACAAAGGAGGCCGAGAGGGAGGGGAGGGCCACTGACACACTGCTCAGTCTACAGCTTTGAATCTACATTAACAACCTCATCCAGCTTTACATTTAGAATCTGTTTAGATTGTGTAGATTATTGTGTGGATGATATATTGTGAACAACACATCTGTTTTGAGATCAGAGGAAGATCTAGTTAAGGTTAACGCTCTGCAGCCGGTGGGCACAACGTAGTTAACAACTGAAGTTACATTATGATGCTTTCACGCTCTATTCAGTAAACATCTGCACAGGGCAAAGGTTCATTATACTGTTATCATGATGTGTTCAAATGTGATCTTGTAAAATTCGGTTTTTGGCGGGAAGCTTTTGAAATGAAGTGAATGTTTTCAGTTATATAAGATATATATGAGAGAGACCTGTTTAACTTCATAACACGACCTCTAAGCGGCTCGAACTACATAATACAACATTATTGAGGCCAAAATATTTTTGAGGAAAGCAAATATTTAAATAAAAAAGTCCATAATTTCTTAATAATTAGAATGTAGTGTTTTAATGGCAGCATTCACTATAGATGAAAAAAACAAAGGGTAAAGTATGATTTGTGTCAGTAGAGCCACAGCAGCTGCAATTCCTTTGAACAGTAAACATATGTGATCTCAACTGTTCTCGTTATATTATTAGTATTTATTATGAAATTCCATCTTTATTCTGATTATAGCACTTAATATATTATAATAATTTTCATAACATTATAACTCAGATTTATAACTTATCCTTTTGACCTAATTTAAGTGGCAGGAACATGTTTGTGGTAATTTTCCATCCTCTGACCCACAAACCAGGCAGGGCGCTCCAAAATACACTAAGCCGTTTTCCACTTCGCCCTACATCGATTCTCCATTAGGGCCAATATCTACACACACACACACACACACACACACACCACACACACACACACACACACACACACACACACACACACACACACACACACACACACACACACACACACACACACACACACACACACACACACACACACACACACACACACACACACACACACACACACACCACACACATCACACACACACACACCACACACACACCACACACACACACACACACACACACACACACACCACACACACACACACACACACACCACACACACACACACACACACACACACACACATCACACACACCACACACACACCACACACACACACACACACACACACACACACACACACACACACACACACCCACAACACACACACACACATCAACACACAACACACACACACACACACACACAACACACACACACACACACACACACACACACACACACACACACACACACACACACACACACACACACATAGCTGTCTGTGTTGATGGATGAAGGAGTTTGATAGAAGAGCTGAGCTGTGTTGGCAGTGACAAAGCAGAAAAAAGTAGTGTGTGCAAATGTGTGTGTGTGTCAGGGGAATTAGGGTACAGCACCTGGTAGTACAAGTCAGCCAGGTCATATGGGTACTCTTATGAGAGTTATGTCTAGAAAAAAGTCAAAAGGAAGCTGAGTTTGTCAATGTTTTGTAAATACACTGCAAACCTGTAATATTATGCAGCAGTTTTTGTTTTAAAGTAACAAAAGTTCTCAGCTCAAATTTACTTTAAGCCTTTCAGATAAAGTTTGGAATAAACTAAGTTTTTGGCAGGGCTCAAGCTTTAAAACATGTTTTTCTGACTGCATTGGCACTTCAATTCACATCAGGTGGCCATTTTGTACCACTGAGCCTTAGCAAAACTCCTTACGGAGTGGATACAACCAGTGGTGTAGTGGGGACTGTTTTACTAGGTGGACGGGGCTGGGGGGGGGGGGAAGACACTATGGACGCGCTCGTGAACTGTCAACGGGGGGGGGGAGACCTCTGTGTCGCATGTCAGCGCAACTTACAGGATCCCTTTTAGACAATATAATAATAAAGGGCGGTGCCGGCCGTCAGCGAACCGATCCGACCTTTCTGCGCGACTGTCACTCAAATGCGGGACAGTCTCAATTTGTGGGACGCGGGAAAAATAATAAAAATGTTGTGTGTGCAGTCCCGCACAAAGCGGGACACCTGGTGGTCACCCTACACTACACACACACACACACACACACACACACACACACACACACACACACACACACACGGTGCTGCCCCTCACACACAACACACACCCACACACACACACACACACACACACACACACACTTCAAATCAAGTTGCATAAATGCTTGAGCTACGTTTTTATTATAATTACTGTGAAATGTATTGTGTTTTCGTCATTATTACAACAAATACACACTTGCAACTGATAACACTGGCAATGATTTTATATTTATTAGACTATTAAAAAAAAAAAATCATGCTTCAAATAAGTGGGGGTACGCCGTACCCCCGCGTCCAACGCCCACTACACCACTAGATACAACGGAACATAAAAGGTTGAAGCAACTTTACACATAAGGAGGTTAGAAGAAATGTAACCATGTCTCGACAACAATCCCCAAAACAATGATATATATGGAACTCTTATATAAATGGAGCTTTCCAATGTTTCTGCACAGGTGTGAAAACAGCCTCAAATGTATATACAGCAAAGAAGAAGAATAGGAGGAGGCTGTGAGTGTGAAAGTCTGTGCATGAGGATTGAGATGTAAGCTATGTTTAAGGTAAGTTCTGTTAAAGATGTGACTGTGTGAACATGCAGAGCATCCTGAGGGACAGCAGAGAAGTGGAATATGCTGCAGAGGACGTTTGAGAAGTCTCTACAGACGGCTGTTTTTGCTGTGAAAACTGGGTCAGCGTTGGTATCCAGTGCAACTGCTGTGAATCCAGACTGACTGCAGCCGCTGTCGACTGTCGAGGCCAAACTTTGACAGCTACCTTTAAACTCAGCAGGTGTGTGACACTGCAAACATAGATGTTGAGAGCAGTGCCACTTTAAACTGAGGAGTTTACTTTTAGTTTGAAACTGTGAAAATATGTCAGACTCTTTCAAAAAACGCTCTGAACTTTTGTTGCAATTATTCACTGAGATATAAATAAAAATACGGGTTAAAGAAGCATTTTCACTAGAAAATCTAACTAAAGTAAGTCATGAGTCACTACCTGATCCTGGATTTTGAGGTGAAGGCTGAAACCAATCTCAGAGCTTCACTTCCATCCATGCTATTTTCCTGTGTCATGTGGCGTTTCCCTCTTCTTATCCTCGTTTTAGACATTCCATTCACTGTTTTGTGAAAACCGCAGAGGTGTGCAGGCTTCCCTTTGAGTCTCCACGTTGTTTTTACGTTAAACAGGGTTGCAAAAATACTCAACCAGTGTGCATAGGACGATTAATAGCAGGGACAACTCTGGTGTGTCCAGGATTGCTTTGGATGTCTATTCTCCCCTTTGAGCCAATGAGCGACATCAAATGTGACTTGCTGGCTTAATGAACACCAATTTTGTTTCATTTGATTTTTTCAATAGCTCATCTTCTGACTTATGTCAAAACTCACAAGGATCTCCAGGCCTACTTGTGTGTCCTCTTTATTCTGGTCTCCATGTGTTCATGAGAGCATGAAAGCTGATGGAGAGGTGCAACATTTTACTTTTGAGTTTAAACATTCACAACTCATGTACTCTTCTCCAAAATGTATCCAGTCCTGCTAAGGGCTGATATAAATAAAAACTATTGAAATATATACTAAATAGCTCAAATGCCTTTTAACGTTACGGTTGGTGTGGTGGGTGGCTCTTATTGATTTATGCACTTAGTGAGAGGGACTGTCGGTCAGTATGTTTGTGTGAGACATGACTACATTAGAGGGGCAAAAATGCTTCTTCTCTCGCCTCTAAGGTCTACACACACAGAGGGCCAGCACTCCCACCCACAGCATGGTGCCACAGGGAGAGGTCAAAGGTTAACTGAGGCAGGGTGTTAGGTCAGAAGGGTTAAACTGGACACTTTAGCACAGCAGTTGTGGGGTCAAGAGGGGAGGGGCGGGGGTGTCACTGTGTGGTCCAGTTACTGGTTATGCGTGCAACATGTCTCGTGCCCCCTGCCTACACAGAGAACTTGTGCGTGTCAGCTCTGTGTGTGGACGAGAAGTATGCGTGCGTGCGTGCAGACGGATGTGTGTGTTAAGCAGCTTAATACCTAGCCAGTCGTTGAACTTCTTAACCTCGGAGGGCAGGCCCAGCTCGGTGAAGTCACCCGTGTGCAGCAGCACGTCGCCGTAGGGCATCTGGATGCCGTCTGTTCGCGAGTGTGTATCAGACACACACACAAACCTGGTGTGTCCTGTTGGCTTGGGAGTGTCATAAGGAATGGGGTCCACCCTGCAGAAAGACAGAGACACAGAGACAATGAGCCCTAAACTTTGATTTGATAACATGTCACAGGAGTTGAAGCGCCTAATGTTCAGGACTCTGGGCAAATTGGTTCTTTGTCGTTGCCTGTTGAAGTTACTCAAAGTTCAAATATATGGTGTTTTTTGCAAGGATCCAGAACAGAACTTTGTTTCAGCATTCCCCTGCTCGCAAAGGAAATGTAATATCAGTCATCTCAGCAACTCGCTGAACTCAATTCATTTTGTTTTGCAGTCTTTTAAGATTATTTGTGAGTTGATGGTGTACACCTCTTTTATTGTGTTGAAGTAACAGCTTTCATATTATTATTATTACCATATTATGTATGCTCTTATCTGTCAATCACACAACCATGTTTGAGTGATGTGGATATCTAAAGGAAACAAGAATAAACTGAAATGGTGTCTCCTTTTGAATTACTTGTTCAAATGTATCATTTATTTCTCTGCTCAACCTACATTTCATTAATCACAATACATACAAATTGCTCAAATGCAGGAACTGCACATCAGTTGGTGAATATGTTCAGTCCTTGATGTTACTGATATGATATGATGCTTCTTATCACACACACACGCTTCTTATAATGCTTTCCATATGAAAAGTATTTGTTGTTTTATGTTATTATAACCTACAAATTCTCAATTCACCATTTATAAAAAGGTACACAACTCAGTAAGCACTAAGCATCCAAAGCACAGAAAGCAAACTGCAAACGATAACATGTTTCACTTCTGCCCTTGTTGTTATTGAATAATAGTGAAGATGATTCTCCGTATAAAAGAGCTGCAATTCAGAGAACGTGCCTTTTTCCTCTTTGTGATATTTGAAATGGAAGTACCAGATCCAGAAGCATCTTTTTAGGAAATGTATGCAAATGTCATACCAGCTAGCAGAAGGGGCACAGCTGAAAACTGGAACCTTCAAAAAAAAGATCATTTGTTGTGCAAAATAAATGACACGGTTCACAGAATAATGCATGCAGCAGCATCTCAAAGAAAAGACGGTAACAAGATGTGTAGTTTGAGCTGGAAAGCAACCGGCGTTCGGGTTGATCTGTGCACACCAAGAGGGAAATGGATGTTTTGTGGCATCAGATTGGCTAAAGAGACAGTGAATTAAGGCATGCCATGTCCTTTCTACTCTGAAGAAAAACACTTAGGCCCAAGTCTGGCTGAAAACAAAGAATCTTTTTATCCAGCCTTTTTGTTCGATGTAAGCACGTCTGTTAAAAAGGAAGAACAACCTGTACTCTTCTGACTGAAAAGAAAGAGGGGGGGAATCATCTTGTCTGTAATTGAAGTCTGCAATGTGCAATCCTCCAGCACTCTGCCACTAGGCCATTATTTCATTAGGAGAGATGTCACTCTGTCGAAAACATCAGACACATAATCAACGCTGCAATCTCCAACCTGACAAGCACCACACACACCCACATAGTTAACTCGCATGTGTGCACGAACATGGCATGAAAACAGCCGCAGAAAGAAGATGAAATCAAAAGGTTTCAGACGGAGAGGACGTCATTAACAGAGATGGAGAAAATGGGCACCTTGGCATAAAGAGAATTCTACTCGTTTGGGAAGCAATCTCCCTGTTTTTACATTTCTGTGGCATGTTGAGAAGAATACTGTCTACAGACAGTGTGGCATCTGCTGCTGTTCTGTTTGTGAGTTGAACAGCCATCTGCCTGGCCGGGTTTATGGTGAACAGGCTGGTCACTGTCTGTAATGCACCTTTCAATGACGTACACATTTAAAAACAACATTAGGTGACATGTGTTGGAAAGCACCGTTTAAAAACCTCCAGTACTGATGTGTTGAGATCTGGTGTCTGTGAGGGCCATAGTAAATATTACAGGTTTGGGAAATGTATTATCCAGTTATTGATTTTGTAACCCATCTGTATATTCTGACTTATAGCCAATGTTTTTTAAATTCACTTGGAAGGTGTTTATAGCCGAAAAATCAACCAGGTGTGAATGTTTTTGGCCGATGTGGTAAAGGAAATGCCTGAAACTTATCTGTGCTTCATCCCATTGCAGAAGTCATGTAAATCCAATGTTGCCACAAAGCAGTCAAACTCACTGATTTACATAAAACAGCAGCTGCATGCTTTCGGAGTATTTCTGGCTTGCAAAAGTTAGTGAATAAGAAGCGGAGGGGAAGAAAACAGTCCTCTAAATCTTAATTCTGAAATGCTAACGGACAACATCAGCGCCTGACAAATGCAGCACCCTCATGCAACGGTTACAAAATTAAACCTATTACGACTTTTACCACAATCGGTGCATCCTGGATCAAATGTTCTTGTTTTACCAGAATGTGAATCTTGTCTGATTGTGTTTTTTCATCTGTAACCTGCAATCAGTCAATATTTGAGTCATTATACCCGTTACTCCATCGAGCCGTCGGCTAGGTAGTGAGACACTGGAGCAGAGCGAGCTTCTCTGTGACCAGAGCAGGCCCTGAACTTAATATTAAACGCACTGGACAAAATGAAAAACTGGCCACAGAGATAATGCTATTTACTATTGACTGTGTGCAGTAAATAAGTCTGTGTTCCTATACACACACACACATTAACTTAAGCCAGCAGAGCAGCACACACACTGCAGTGTAGCTTCTGATTCGATTTGGTGCTCTGTGGTGTCTCCATGTCATGCAGCTTTACAGGATCCGACAGTACCCGTCATGGAGGAAGGACGAATGCAGAACCACATGGGAGGACAAAACACACACACATATATATATATATATACATACACACACACACACACACACACACACACACACAAGCATACATATTAAAACAAAGCCAGGAGAAAAACAACTTCCAACTCCTCCCCTTTCCTTTGAGATTGAATCCACCCTGAGAATGTAAGTAAATACCAGCAGCCCCTATCAATTAAGAGCAGGCCCTGACACACACACACACACACACACACACACACACACACACACACACACACACACACACACACACACACACACACACACACACACACACACACACACACACACACACACACACACACACACACACACACACACACACACACACACACACACACACACACACACACACACACACACACACACACACACACACACACACACACACCACACACACACACACACACACACACACACACACACACACACACACACACACACACACACACACACACACACACACACACACACACACACACACACACACACACACACACACACACACACACACACACACACACACACACACACACACACACACACAGGTTCATTAGTAATGTATACAGGAGTTCAGGAGTTCAGCAGTGCAGCGAAGGCCTCTGATCTATTGTAAACGGAGACAGTGAAAATGAAAAAGTCTGTGCGCCCCGGCAGCAGGTAAAAGAATATTCTCCAGTGACAGACTGAACTGTGTTAGCATGAAGGTTCGTGTTAACATGTCTGAGCTTCGGCGTGACATCAGAGGGAAGACTGCGGAGGGAAAAGAGTGGGGGAGAAAGAGAAATGCTAATGCTCTCGAGGAGGGCAGGAGCACACTCTCAAATCCGCCATGACATTGGAGCTGACACAAAACCGAGGTCTGTGGCTGCAGAAATATCTGCTCGATGATCGTCTGTGATCCCTCGGCAGAGAAACCTCAGCGAGTTAACTTCTCCTCACCTACAGCTGCAACATTTATCAGCCTCCATTTTGGGAAAATGATAGTATTGCACTTCTGAGACCTAACATACGTTTGAACTTGAATGCAGTATTTCTTGAGCTAAGAGCAGCGAAACGATCCAGTTTTTATTCTTACTGTCTTTCTCTTGTTATGTTCTTAATTGCAAAATTCACAGATGACAGATTGCACATTTGAGAATGAAATATGTTTCTCTTCAAATGAAGCCAGATTGTTCGTTTAGACTAAGCTCGTTCTATTATTCTGCATCACATAATGCCTTATATTCATATCTTACTACAAATATGTTTTCATGTGAATCCAGAGTTAAACACTTTCATTCGATTATGATAAGGACCTGTAGTGAGAGTATACCAAAACCTGCAGCCTCCATATGTTTTCAAAAATATCACAGTTTAATATCAATGTTAAAATAAGCTTGATGAGATTTGCCCTATAAAAAAGGAAATTGAACCGTTTTTTGGAACATGCGTCATAGAGAAAGACAGAGAGAAGTATACATCAGCGCTGGAGAGACGAGTGCTCTGTGTTGTCTGTAGGAGGATATTCAATTTGACTGAACACACTTGGCTCCGTGGCCTTTTAGAAAAACACACAAGCAACCGGGGTCAGAGTTCAGTCTGGGCTTGCTCCTTCAAACGTGACACTTCACTCGCAGCAGATAAGAAGGTCGCGGTCTGTGTCACTCTCCGACAAGTCCGGCTCTTTAAGGACGCCACATAATCGTTGTGATTGATTACAATACTTCCTCACCGAGACTTCAGGGCGTCCAAAACAGAGCGGGCTGTTGGCTTCGCGGCCAAAAAACTGTCCGGCTACAGAGCTCTTATCGTACATTTTAGAGTTAGTTACAGTCAAACACCGCTATCCATCATTACGGGAGATAACTTCATGAATACACCACATTTAAAAATGAGACGCTCTCAACGATTTCAACTGGGAAATCATATTCCTCTTGTTCTAAAGAAGGGAAAGTAAAATAAAAACAGAGACTTAGGGCAGTTGAGGCTGGAGATAAATATGACCAATGTCTTTCCTTTCATACGTTGTACCATGTCTTTTTCAATCTTTATCAGCTCTTATGGTTCAAACTTGATAAAGTTATAGTGTTAGGATAAGGGAAACTGAATATTAAGTAAACTATGGGTCATTCAGAAAACAATGAACACTGATTTTGATAACAAAATGAAATCATTCCAAAGCTGTTGGGTGGTGTTCAGGACTAGTCAGGTCCATCGAGCAGCAATGTTTCTTTATGATGCTTTGTTCGAAGGGAC